TAAAGTATAGGAGCCTTTTTAACCAAATGAGAGAGTAATTGTGGTAGGGGGCCCAATGTTAAAATAGGAAAACTTTTTTGGGAGGGGTGGTGGTAATTTTTTGGGGGGCCAGGGAAATGATAATGGGACCCCCTTTTATTGAACTTTGTATAGAAAGGGGTTTGGGAAAAGGTAAAACTATTTTTTTGGGGGAAAAAAGGATAAATTTAAAATTTTACAAGATATTATGAAAGGGGGAAATGACAGTAAATTTTTTGGAAATGTATTGGTTTGATAAAAGGGCTGTTTATAGACTTCAGGTTACCTGTTTTTTAGAGGGGCCCAGATATATCAGATCACTTTTTATTGTACTACAAATGAAGTAAAAGGTAGATGGGAAAAACAAGGAGAATAGAACATCAGGGAAGAGAGAGGTGAAAGGGTTTTTAAACTAAAAAGGGGAGGCAGTTTTTGGGGGAAGATAAAAAACAGGGTATTGGAGGAAAAGATGGGCAAAGAAGCATTTGGCAAATGGTTTGAAGAGGTATGGGGTAGGTTTAAAAAATTTGTGTTGGGGGTTTTTTCAGCAGAAGTTTGTGGTTACAAGGGGGTCGGGTTTTTTCGGGAGGGGGAAAAGGAGCGATTTGGTTTGGGAAAGATTTTGGGAAAGAGTAGTAAGGGAAAAAAAGTTAGCAAAAAGAGAAGTTTTTACAAAGGGAGGGAAATGATTCAAGGAGGTAAGAGTATATGGAGGAAAAAAAAGGGGAGGTTAAAAGTGGTTGAAAAACAATGTAAAAAAAAGGGGCAAATGGAGAGTGGGGGGAGATGTTATCAAAAAAATTTTGTGAAAATAAAAAAAAAGTTTTGGGTTTAGATTAACAAGTTTTAAGGGAAGCCTTTGAGAAAAAAAGGATTTGCCCGTTTAAAAATAGGAAGGAAGTTATTAAAAAATAAAAGTTAGGGTTTTTGGGGAAAATGGGGGGGAATATTTTGAAAGGGAAATTGGTTTAAAAATTTTATGAAAAAAGGGGAAAATGTGATTTCGTTATAGGGTAAGGAGGAAAAACATCTTGTAGGAGTGGGGGAAGAGCCAGTTGTGAGTGTGGGGGAAATTCATGAGGCAATAGGTAAAATGAAAGGGGGTAAGGCAGCCGGATTGATGGGGTGAAGATAGAAATGTTAAAAAACAGGTTTTGGGGGGTTTTATTTTTTGGGTGGTTGGTGAAAATTTTTTTAATAAAGTAATTTGGGGAGGGGGAAGGTACTTAGGGGTTGGCAGAAAAGCATGCTAGTTCCTTTTATAAAGGGAAAGGGGGGTAAGTTTGTTGAGTGTACCTGGTAAAATTTATGGTGAGTTATTTTTGAAAGAATTAAGGTAAAGAAGGAGAATAGGAAAAGCCCGAAAGAACAAGGAGGCCCTTTTGGGAAAAGGGAAGGGGGGGTTTTTGGACCCGGGTTTACAGTTAAAAAACGTAAATGAAAAAGTATTTAGATGAGGCTAAAGAGGGCTTTTTTGGCATTTATGGATTTTGGGGGAAAGGGCCCTAGACAGGGGGGATAGGGGGGGGAATGTGGCAAAGTTGCCCGGTGTTTTGGTGTAGGAAGGGAGGGGTTAAAGGGAAAAAAGTGAAGAAGGGGTTTTTTCGAGGAAGTGAGGCTCAAGTTAGAGTTTTGTAGGAAAAGGGGAAATTTTTTTTCCCATTTTTTGTAGGCCTTAGACCAAGGATGTGTGATGTCACCGGGGTTGTTTTAAAATTTTTTTAGAGAGGGGGTTTTTTTAAAAAGAAGTAAATGCGAGGGGCCCTTGGGGAAGAGCCCTGGAGGGTTTAAAAAATAAAGGGAAACACAAATAAAGTGGGGGTTTTTACAGTTTGGGTTTTTTTTTTTTGCTGATGACACGTGGGGTCTTTGGAGATTTGAAAAGGGAAATTGCAGAGATTGGGGGATGAATTTGGTTGGGATGCAAAAAAAAAGAAAAAATTTAAAAAAGAATACAGGAAAGAGTAAGGTTTTTGAGGATAACCCAAAAAGATTAGGGGATTTAAAGATTGGAAACAGATTGGAAAGGGAAAAGGGGTAAGGGGGGAGGTGAAATTTTTTTCAGATATTTGGGAGTGGACGTGGGCAGCGGATGGGTCTATAAAGAAGAGGTGAATTTAAAATATTAAGGGGGAAAAGGGTGAGTGGGCCCTTAGGAGTTGTGGAGACAAAAAAACTTTGTCCTTGGAGGCCAAAAAGGGGGAAAGTATGGGGAGTAAAGTTTTAAAAAACGCTCTTATATGGGTGGAAGCATGGGTGATGAATGTTGCAGAGGGAGAAAAGGCCGGAGGGAGTGGAGGGTGTCCATGTTGAGGCAATTTTTGTGGTATGGGAAAATATGCAGAGAATTTGTAAAGTTTGGGAAATTAGGAGGAAAAGGGGGGGGATTACCAAAAAATGTTGTCCCAAAAGGGTGAGGAAAGGGGTTTTTGAGGTGGGTTGGGGCATTGTAGAGAGAATGGAGCGAAAACCCGAATGACTTCAAAAAGTTTAAACAGTTTTGTAGTGGAAGGAATGCGGAAATAGGGGTCGGGCCTAGGAAAAGGTTTTGGGGGGAGGGGTTTTAAAGGAGGTTTTGGGTCGCGAGGGGCCCGGGTTTGGGTAGGAGTGAATGGAGGGCAAAGGTTTTTTAAAACTTCCCCTGCTGTTGGGGGTGGGGAGCAAAATTTAAAATTTTGAAGGGATTCAGGGAAAACCCCGGGAGGCCGGGACTTGATCCTGGAGATGGGGGTACAGTGCCTGCACCCTTAAGGAGGGGTGTTTTAAGTTTCAGTTTAAAAACTGTAGTGTAAAGCACCCTTCTGGCAAGACAGTGATGGAGTGAATGATGGTGAAAGTTTTTCTTTTTTGGGCCACCCTGCCTTGGTGGGAATCGGCCAGTGTGATAATAATAAAAAAAAAATTTTTTGAAATGTGGGGTAAGGTGGAAAGATTTATAGAGAAACATCACCCTGACAAGGCTGTTGTAAGCCATGTTGGCAACATGTACAGTGACAAAGTCTTGGCCCATTTTAGGGAAGTGTTAGAGACTCCAGAAACAGAGCTCTCTGGACAGTTATTTTGCGAGATAGGACTCAAGTGACTCCCAAGCTGGTCCTAGTGGCATTAAGAAACAGAGAAGAGAAGTAACCCCAGAAAAGCAATTGGTACCTGAGGTGTTGATGGAAGGGGATTCCCCTTCCAAACTGTAAATAATCCAATCTCTCTCCTCCTCCAGTCTTCCATACACTAAGAAGAATTGCCAGTAAAGGTAAGTGTTATGCTGTTAATGTTTCATTCATCATGTCCCATTGTATTGTTTATGTACTACATCTATATTTCATGTAAAAAAAATTTTTGTTTTAGTACTTCTTGGTGTCAGGAACGGATTAATTGTATTTACATTATTTCTTATGGGGAAAATTGATTCGAAAATCATAGATTTTGATAATAGTAACGCCTCCAGGAACGGATTAATTATAATAAAAGAGGGACCACTGTAATTTGAAATCACCGTATTAGCGGAACTCCGCAAGGCAAAACGCCGTAAAGCAGGGCCCTACTGTATAAGTGTAAACATGCTGTGGTAGGCAGAAACTCCATCCTCACTGTTTTAACCCTTTGAGGGTTTCGGACGTACTAGTACGGCTTACGACCCAGGGTTTTTGACGTACTAGTACGCCTAAATTCTAGCGCCCTCAAATCTAGTGGGAGAAAGCTGGTAGGCCTCTATATGAAAGAATGGGTCTATGTGGTCAGTGTGCACGGTATAAAAAAAATCCTGCAGCACACAGTGCATAATGAGAAAAAAAAAACTTTGACCGTTTTTTTGGAATAAAACAGCGACTTTGCACTGTATTTTCGTATGGTATTTATTGTTGTATTCTAGTTTTCTTGGTCTCATTTTATAGAATGGAAGGCATATCATAGAAATTGAGATGATTTTGACTGGTTTTACAATAAAAAGTACCTTGAAATTGAGCTCAGAATAGCAGAAATGTTCTATTTTTACCAAAGTTCAAAAGTAAACAAATCATGCCAAGCGTCCAATACACGTCAACTGGTGAGTCTAATATTCATTTGCAAGTGCGCCAATATGATTCATACCATTTTTTACACTAATGCAGTAGTCTGCATAACAGTAAATCTTCTATTTTTTGTGAGAATAAAAATTCAAAGTGGAAAGCAAAAGAATGTAAGAGGAACCTTGAGACGTGACTAATGAACAGAGGAAATGTCATTTTAGTGCCAGGAATGTATTTCTTGTTTATTCTGGATCCAATTCGGAAATTGGCATCTTTTGAAATTTGTGTGAAATTGGCAAAATTGCTAAATTCTGACCACTGTACTGGGTAATTGAAATTGGTAAATGGGTGGCTTCTTGCACTCATTCAATAGAAAAAATGGAGTTCTAGCGAAATATTCATGTTTTTTGTCGACTAGTACAGTACAACTGGCGGAAAATGGGGCTCAAAGAGGGCAAAATCGCTGATCCGTAAACATCGCCGAGACCGCTAACTTCACGAGAGCATAATTCCGTAAGTTTTCCATCAAATTTCATATTTTTGGTGTCATTATGATCGGGAAAAGATTCTCTATCTTTTCATAAGAAATTTTTTTTTTTTTTTTTTAAATTTGGCCGACCCTGAGAACGAGTCTCGGAGAGGGCCTGTCGACCCTCAAAGGGTTAAAGGTGTGAATATCTTACCAATCCATTATTATGCTAACAAAAGCATGGACCACTAGAAACATCTTTTCTGATTGGTTTTGCAAACATTTTGTGCCATCAGCTCATGCTCAGTGAAGGGAAGCCAGACTGGATGCCAAGTGCAAGATTTTGTTATTCCTTGACAACTGTTCTGCTCATCCTCCAGTTTAACTTCTCATCAAAAACAATATTTATAGCATGTACTTTTTCCCAAATATGACTTCATTAATTCAGCCATGTAACCAAGGCATCCTTAGACCAGTGAAGACTAAATATAGACAGTTTTATGAAGAGCATGCTGGCAGCAATGAACAGAGGCATGGGTGTGGATAGCTTCAAGGAGTTTACTCTGAAAGATTCTGTATATGCAGCTGCCACTACATTGAATCATGTAACTAAAAGCACCCTTGCACATGCCTGTCACAACCTCTGGCCTGTGGCTATGTTCAGTGACGCTGATGGGCAAAGTGATGAGTTTGAAGGATTCAGCATGTCAGATGAGAAAAAGATGTCAGACCTTTCATGTGCAAAAGGTATACCTTCAGAGTTCATCAGTAACCCGGAGGAAGTGGATATCGAAGAAGTTCTTAACATCGATGATAGTACTTCAGTTGTTCGTTCAATGACTGATGGTGAAAAAGCTGAAATGGTTCTGAAGCAATCTCCTTCCTCCCCAAACCAAAAATCCAAAATCCGAAACACTTCCTGTCGCAAGCACTTCGGATAAAGGATTCTCAACTTTTTTTTTTTTTTAACAAGTCGGCCATCTCCCACCGAGGCAGGGTGATCCAAAAAGAAAGAAAATCTCCAAAAAGAAAATACTTTCATCATCATTCAACACTTTCACCTCACACACACATAATCACTGTTTTTGCAGAGGTGCTCAGAATACAACAGTTTAAAAGTATATATGCATAAAGATACACAACATATCCCTCCAAACTGGCAATATCCCAAAACCCCTCCTTTAAAGTGCAGGCATTGTGCTTCCCATTTCCAGGACTCGAGTCCGGCTATATAAAATAACCGGTTTTGATGAATCCCTTCACTAAATATTACCCTGCTCACGCTCCAACAGATCGTCAGGTCCCAAATACCATTCGTCTCCATTCACTCCTATCTAACACACTCAGGCACGCTTGCTGGAAATCCAAGCCCCTCGTCCACACAACCTCCTTTACCCCCTCCTTCCAACCCTTTCGAGGATGACCCCTACCCTGCCTTCCTTCCCCTACAGATTTATACGCTTTCCATGTCATTCTACTTTGATCCATTCTCTCTAAATGACCAAACCACCTCAACAACCCCTCTTCAGTCCTGTGACTAATACTTTTATTAACTCCACACCTTCTCCTAATTTCCACACTCTGAATTTTCTGCATAATATTTACACCACACATTGCCTTTAGACAGGACATCTCCACTGCCTCCAACTGCCTCCTCGCTGCAGCATTTACAACCCAAGCTTCACACCCATGTAAGAGTGTTGGTACCACTATACTTTCATACATTCCCTTCTTTGCCTCCATAGATAACGTTCTTTGTCTCCACATATACCTCAATGCACCACTCGCCTTTTTTTCCTCATCAATTCTATGATTAACCTCATCCTTCATAAATCCTTCTGCTGATACATCAACTCCCAAATATCTGAAAACATTCACTTCTTCCATACTCCTCCTCACCAATTTGATATCCAATATTTCTTTATCTAAATCATTTGATACCCTCATCACCTTACTCTTTTCTATGTTCACTTTCAACTTTCTACCTTTGCACACACTCCCAAATTCGTCCACTAACCTCTGCAATTTTTCTTTAGAATCACCCATAAGCACAGTATCATCAGCAAAAAGTAACTGTGACACTTCCCATTTTGTGTTTGATTCCCCATAATTTAATCCCACCCCTCTCCCAAACACCCTAGCATTTACTTCTTTTACAACCCCATCTATAAATATATTAAGCAACCATGGTGACATTACACATCCCTGTCTAAGACCTACTTTTACCGGGAAGTAGTCTCCCTCTCTTCTATACACCCTAACCTGAGCCTCACTGTCCTCATAAAAACTCTTTACAGCATTTAGTAACTTACCACCTATTCCATGTACTTACAACATCTGCCACATTTACTCCCCTATCCACTCTATCATATGCCTTTTCTAAATCCATAAGTGCAATAAAAACTTCCCTACCTTTATCTAGGTACTGTTCACATATATGCTTCAATGTAAACACCTGATCTACACATCCCCTACCCACTCTAAAACCTCCTTGCTCATCCGCAATTCTACGTTCTGTCTTCCCTCTAATTCTTTCAATAATAACCCTACTGTACACTTTACCCGGTATACTCAATGAACTAATTCCTCTGTAATTTTTACAGTCTCTTTTGTCCCCCTTCCCTTTATATAAAGGGACTATACATGCTCTCTGCCAATCCCTAGGTACCTTCCCCTCTCATACATTTATTAAACAAAAATACCAACCACTCCAACATTATATCTTCCCCTGCTTTTAACATTTCTGTCATGAGCCCGTCAGTTCCAGCTGCTTTACCCCCTTTCATTCTATGTAATGCCTCACGCACCTCCCCCACACTTACAACTTGCTCTTCTTCACTCCTAAAAGATGGTACATATATTCACTGGCCAGTGAATGAAATTACCACCTCCCTTTCTTCGTCAACATTTAAAAGTTCCTCAAAGTATTCTCGCCATATACCCAATACCTCCATCTCCCCATCTACTAACTCTCCTACTCTGTTTTTAACCCTTGAATGGTCCAAACGTATATATATGTTTTTTTAACATCTGAAAGTATGTAAAAAATGTAGATCTTCTTTTTTGTTTTACATTTGAAAACATGTAAAAAAACTTTTATCTACATTTTTTTTGGGTTATATTTGAAAATATGTAAAAAAAAAAGTAGATCTACTTTTGTAGCACTACGAATTTGAACGTCGATCTGTTTGGACCGTTTAAGGGTTAACTGACAAATCCATTTATCCCTTAGGCTTTCTTAACTTGTTTAACTCACTCCAAAATTTTTTCTTTCATTAAAATTTCTTGACAGTGCCTCTCCCACTCTATCATCTGCTTTCCTTTTGCACTCTCTCACCACTCTCTTCACCTTTCTTTTACTCTCCATATACTCTACTCTTCTTATAACACTTCTGCTTTGTAAAAAATCTCTCATAAGCTACCTTTTTCTCTTTTATCACACCCTTTACTTCATCATTCCACCAATCACTCCTCTTTCCTCCTGCACCCACCCTCCTATAACCACAAACTTCTGCCCCACATTCTAATACTGCAATTTTAAAACTATTCCAACCCTCTTCAACCCCCCCACTACTCATACTTGCACCAGCCCACCTTTCTGCCAATAGTTGCTTATATCTCACCTGAACTTCCTCCTCCCTTAGTTTATACACTTTCACCTCCCTCTTACTTTTTGCCATTTTCCTCTTGTCTCATCAACCTCTTACTCTAACTGTAGCTACAACTAGATAATAATCTGATATATCAGTTGCCCCTCTGTAAACGTGTACATCCTGAAGCCTACCCATCAATCTTTTATCCACCAGTATATAATCTAACAAACTACTTTCATTACTTGCTATATCATACCTTGTATATTTATTTATCCTCTTTTTCATAAAATATGTATTACTTATTACCAAACCTCTTTCTACACATAGCTCAATTAAAGGCTCCCCATATTCATTTACCCCTGGCACCCCAAATTTACCTACTACTCCCTCCACAACATTTTTACCCACTTTAGCATTGAAATCGCCAACCACAAGTACTCTCACACTTGGTTCAAAACTCCCCATGCGTTCACTCAACATTTCCCAGAATCTCTCTTTCCTTTACACTTCTCTCTTCTCCAGGTGCATAAATGCTTACTATAACCCACTTTTCACATCCAACCTTTATTTTACTCCACATAATCCTTGAATTAATACATTTATACTCCCTCTTTTTCTGCCATAGCTTATCCTTCAGCATTATTGCTACTACTTCTTTAGCTCTAACTCTATTTGAAACCCCTGACCTAATCCCATTTATTCCTCTCCACTGAAGCTCTCCCACCCCCTTCAGGTTTGTTTCACTTAAAGCCAGGACATCCAGCTTCTTCTCATTCATAACATCCACAATCATCTCTTTCTTATCATTTGCACAACATCCACGCACATTCAGACATCCCACTTTGAAAATTTTCTTCTTATTCTTTTTAGTAATTATTACAGGAAAAGAGGTTACTAGCCCATTGTTCCCGGCATTTTAATCGACTTTTACAACATGCGTGGCTTACGGAGGAAGGATTCTTATTCCACTTCCCCATGGATATAAAAGGAAAAGTAATAAGAAACAAGAACTATTAAGATAAAATCAAAGAAAACTCAGATGAGTGTGTATAGATAAATGTGTACATGTATGTGTAGTGTGACCTAAGTGTAAGTAGAAGTAGCAAGACATACCTGTAATCTTGCATATTTATGAGACAGACAAAAGACACCAGCAATCCTACCATCATGTAAAACAAGGCTTTCATTTTACACTCGCTTTCAGGACGGTAGTACCTCCCTGAGTGGTTGCTGTCTACCAACCTACTACCTTAATATCAAATAACCCACTGTTATTTTTTATTTTTAACAAGGGTTTCTAAAAAATAGTTTCTATGTTATTTATATTGTTATTTATATTGTTCTCAACTATATTAAATATTTTATGTATATTATAGTGTTAATGTATACACATAGAACTGCTGTTTTGTGTTATTTCCAGTTGAAAAGTACATTGAAGGTAAGCTGTTGGGTGAAAATTCTTTGGGGGGGGGATAACTAAAACTAGATATAGAAAATTAGGGCTCAAAATTCATTAATATATTTTACATTGTTTCTTATAAGAAAGTAGGTTCTGAGTATGGAACATTTGACTTGCTATGAATTTCCTGGAATGCATTAATGTTGTAAGTTAGGGCCATAATTGTGGATGTATGTACATGCATGTACAGTGGTACCTCGAGTTACGAACTTAATTCATTCCAGAAGGCTGCTCAAGTGACGTTACCGAACGAATTTGCTTACAAAAATGCACTAACATAATTGTTCGAATTGGGATCTGTTCGAAACTTGAGGTACCACTGTACTTGTATGTTTGTACATGTGCACCCATGCTGTATACAGGGCACTCTTATGTATTCATTAATGTTTGGGTGTATGATAGATGTAAGACTGAAATCACAAGTGAAAAATATCCTATCCTTTTCTTAATCAGTCATTTCATCCATATCCTTCATTTTTTCATTCACCATTTATAATCACAATTACCAAGAAAATTTAAGGGACATTTGTTTTAAACAGGTGCTCAGATTGAAAAGACTACAAACCGTGAGGCATGCAGAGATCTGAGTGGGCGACGTTTAAGAGACATTAATGAGGAAAAGAGGTAAAGCAGTAGTTAACTTGTTCAGCAAGTAGAGCATTGTACTGGAGCGACAAAGAAGATAATGGAAATTGTTTTATGTCAATTTTATTGAAAATATTTATGCTTTAGGATTATTAAATGCAGCAGAGCACCACTTATGTGGCGGGTTAAGTTCCAAGCTACCACCGTAAAGCGGAAATAGCTGTAAAGCAAATCGTGTTTTTTTTTCACTTATAAATACATATAAATGCCTGATAACATCTTTACTTTATCATATATTAAGTTAGCAATAGAACTAAGATAAAAAACAATAAAAAAGCGAAATGCGTTACAGTACACTTATTACTTAACTTAAAATATTTGTAGTCTTAATGTAAGGTGAGAGGTAAGTAGAAAAACAGGTGTGGTAGCCCACCCGACTACCACACACCCAACAGAGGTAAGTAGAAAGCCAGGTGTGGTAGCTCACACTAGCGCGGGGCCCCTTTAGGCACGGGGCCCAATTGGGAGCAGTTGATCAAATCAGCTTAACCCTTCGACTGTCGCAACCCCCAATCCTGAGGTGTCTCCTGGTGTCGCAAAATTTAAAAAAAAAATTATTTTTTCTTATGAAATGATAGAGAATCTTTTCCCGATTGTAATGACACCAAAAAAACGAAATTTGATGGAAAACTGACGGAATTATGCTCTCGCAAAGTTAGCGACCTCGGCGCTGTTTACAAATCGGCGATTTCGCCCACTTTGAGCCCTATTTTCGGCTAATTCCATTGTTCCAGTCGCCCAAACTCATAGCTATTTCTTTAGAACTCCATTTTTTCTATTGATTGAGTACAAGAAACTGCCCATTTACCGATTTCAACTACCTAATAATGTGGTCAGAAATTTGCAATTTGGCCAATTTCACGAAAACTAAAAAATATGACAATTTCAAAATAAGGTCCAGAATGAACAATGCAGACATTCCTGGCTCTAAAATAACATTTTCTTTGCTCATCAGTCATGTCTCCAGGCCCCTCTGATATTACTCTTGCTTTCTATTTTGAATTTTTATTCAAACAAAAAATAGAAGACTTACTATTATGCAGACTACTGCAATACTGTAATAATTGTATAAATAACATCAACCCATTCATGACTGCATATTAGAATGGCTAGTTGGACATTTATTGGACAATGGCATCATTTGTTTACTTTTGAACATTGGCAAAAATCAAACATTTCCCCTACTTTGAGCTCCATTTCTAGGTTCTTTTTATAGTAAAATCAATCAAAATCACCTCTATTTCTATAATATGTTTTCCATTCTATCAAATGAGACCAAGAAAACGAGAATACAATCATAAATACTATACGAAAATAGACCACAAAATCGGCATTTTAATTAAAAAAATCGGTCGGAGTTTTTTTTTTCTCATTATGCACTGCGTGCTCGAGGATTTTTTTTATATGGTGCACACTGATCACACAGACCCATTCTCTCACATGTGGGCCTACCAGCTTTCTCCTGCTTGATTTGAAGCCGCTAGAATTTATGAGTATACGTCAAACACGGTACCTCGTAAAACGTATATATACGGCCGCGACAGTCAAAGGGTTAATGCTGGCCCTGATTGTGGGTGTATGTACAGTGATACCTTGCATATGCTGCCTGCCATTATCCAAACCTTGCCAGTATCTGAACAGGCCCTGGGAAAGGGCAGAATTCTAAAATATTACCGAAACATCCGAACAGCTGTTCGGATATGGCGGAAAGCTGAATCAAACTTGGCGCACACTTTAGTGTACCAGTTGGCCACTAGGAGCTGTGCTCTTCACCACCTCTGCCACCCACTGTTCTCAATCTCGCTATTGTCCCCTAACCAGATAGGTGCGCATAATGGCGGTGCAGTCTGGAAGCGAGTTTGTGGCCTTTGTGGGGTTTCACTCCTTCTTTTAGCATTATTACTACTGTGTTTTGTCCTAGCTATCTTGTATATGACACCAAAGAGGGCCAGGAATGTGCTTACTCTAGAAAAATGGAAGGAAATACAGTGGACCCTCGCCTAACGATATTAATCCGTTCCTGAGAGCTCAGCGTTAGGCGAAATCATCGTTAGCCGAATTAATTTTCCCCATAAGAAATAATGGAAATCAAATTAATCCATTCCTGACACCCCAAAGTATGAAAAAAAAAAATTTACCACATAAAATATTAAGTTTAATACACACAAACTGAAGAAGACATGTACAATTACATGACACTTACCTTTATTGAAGATCTGGTGGTGATTGATGGGATGGGAGGAGGGGAGTGTGTGGATGGTGTTAATGTTTAGAAGGGGAATCCCCTTCCATTAGGACTTGAGGTGTCAAGTCCTTTTCCGGGGTTACTTCCCTTCTTTTAATGCCACTAGGACCAGCTTGAGAGTCACTGGACCTCTGTCGCACAACATATCTGTCCATAGAGGCCTGTACCTCTCGTTCCTTTATGACATTCCTAAAGTGTTTCACAACATTGTCAGTGTAATAGTCACCAGCACGGCTTGCAATAGCTGTGTGAGGGTGATTTTCATCAAAAAAGGTTTGCACTTTAAGCCACATTGCACACATTTCCTTAATCTCTGAAGTAGACAACTTCTTCAATTTCTCTATCCCCTATTCCCGAGCAGTTTCCTCAGGTCTGGCCTCTTGCTGTTGAAGATGATCTTGCAGCTCATCAGTGGTTAGTTCTTCATTGTCCTTCTCCACCAACTCTTCCACATCCTCCCCACTAACCTCCAATGCCACAATTGATTCCACAACTGGCATAGGCTTCTCAGGGTTAGCCTCAAATCCTTCAAAATCCCTTTTGTCTACACATTCTGGCCACAGTTTCTTCCAAGCAGAGTTTAAGGTCCTCTTAGTCGCTTCCTCCCAAGCCTTACCTATAATGTTTACACAATTGAGGATGCTAAAGTGATCTCTCCAAAACTCTCTTAGTCAGTTGAGTTTCTGAGGTCACTACAAAGCACCTTTCAAACATAGCATTTGTGTAGAGTTTTTTTGAAGTTTGCAATGACCTGCTGGTCCATGGGCTGCAGGAGAGGAGTGGTATTAGGAGGCAAAAACTTGACCTTAATGAAGCTCATGTCCCCAGAAAGTTACTCTTCCACATCTGAAGGATGACCAGGAGCATTGTCTAATGCCAGGAGGCACTTAAGGTCCAATTTATTTTCCAGGAGGTAATTTTTCACAGTGGGGGCAAATGCATGGTGTAACCAGCCATAAAAAAGGTCTCTAGTGACCCATGCCTTACTGTTTGCCCTCCACATCACACACAAATTAGCCTTGAGGACATTGTTTTTCCTGAACACTCTGGGAGTTTCAGAGTGATACACCAATAAAGGCTTCACTTTGCAATCACCACTAGCATTAGCACACATCAAGAGAGTAAGCCTGTCTTTCATAGGCTTATGTCCTGGGAGTGCCTTTTCCTCCTGAGTAATGTAGGTCCTGCTTGGCATTTTCTTCCAAAACAGGCCTGTTTCGTCACAATTAAACACTTGTTCAGGTTTCAATTCTGCACTGTCTATGTACTCCTTGAATTCCTTCACATATTTTTCAGCTGCTTTTTGGTCCGAACTGGCAGCCTCGCCATGCCTTATCACACTATGTATGCCTCTATGATTCTTAAATCTCTCAAACCAACCTTTGCTGGCCTTAAATTCACTCACATCACCACTAGTTGCAGGCATTTTTCTAATTAAATCGTCATGCAACTTCACATATGATCGCTTGAGAGATGCTGTCTCCTGCTATCTGTTTTTCATTTATCCACACCAATAAGAGTCTCTCAACATCTTCTATCACTTGCGATCTCTGTTTCGAAAACAAAGTTGCACCTTTGGCAAGAACAGCTTCCTTGATTGCCGTTTTCTTGGCCACAATAGTAGCGATGGTTGATTGGGGTTTTATGTACAACCTGGCCAGCTCGGAGACACGCACTCTACTTTCATACTTAGCAATGATCTCTTTCTTCATATCCATAATAATTCTCACCCTTTTTGCTGTAGGGTTGGCACTAGAAGCTTTCTTGGGGCCCATGGTGACTTATTTTGGAGGTGCAATCACTAAAAACGCTATGATAATATGAAATGTTCTGATTGTATGTTTGGATGCAACTGCGGTGGCTGGCTTGTAAACACTGGCACCCACGGGACAAGTGAGGCGTGCTCAGGCCACACGTGGACGCGTCTTGAACAGAACAAATCGAGTTGGGCGAGTTTTTTAGCGCTAGCCGAGGCAAAATTTTTGCGTTGAAATGTATCGCTAGGCGGATTTAGCGTTATGCGATGCGTTCGTTAGGCGAGGGTCCACTGTATTGTCACACATGGATGCAGGTTGGTCCAACACGCGACTTATGGCTGAGTGTAATTTGGCAAAGTCAGCCCTCTATGATATCAAGAAGGCTCGTGATAAGATTATGGCCTACACAAGTGAGTTTTCTGCCACCTCAAAATCTGGAAAAAGTGCCTAAAGTAAAGTGATGGCGAAGCCACAGAGCTTGGAATTCGATGAGTGTGTGATGAAGTGGTACCTACAACAACGTGGTAGTGGTATGATGGTTCGTGGCACTGAACTATCATACCCAGTGCCTCCAAGACCAAAAACTTCAGCAGCAAGGGCAGGTGCCGAAACACTTTTGGGGTATTTGGAACATCCACTGTCTACAGCCCATTTGAAAAGTTATGGTCCTGTGATCTGTGAAATCTGGGAGGCTGTTATTCGAGCCCAGAGTGTCTGGTCCCACTGCCAGACAATGTTGGACTCGTTTTCTAAACCTACAGCGCCGTCGCCAATGGTGATATGATGGGGTACAGATGGCTATATGATGGTACGGATGTGCATTTTTTTCCTCATGTATCCGGAAACTCGCGTGCTTCCGAATCAGTCTCAGCCCATATAGTTTGGATATGAGAGGTATCACTGTATTATGTACATGAATGGTATACAGTACTGACAAGATGAAAATTAGACACATGCAACATCTGGGTATCTTTAAT